TTTTTAAAAATAGGCATAAAGAATTATATGCTTCTTATGTTTACACATAAGTCAAAAAATCTAACCATATACAACCTTGAAGCAGGACAGTCCCACAATATTCCTTTTCCTGTCTCTTGCCTTCAATACTTTCAAAATTGAGAAAAACAGAAGAAAGTTACTGTCATAGCTTGGCTTTGGCATTTAACTGAATTGGTTTAGGTACATAGACTCAAGAAAGTCTTGTTTCATACAGATGGCAAAAAGCATTTAGTTTTGATAAATAGCTTACCCTACCTTACAATCTCAAACTCTTCAGTTAAACAGAGTAGCAGAAAGGACTTTAATCCAAGTCTGCACAGAGCAGGCTACTCTGGAGTCTACTGGGTTCATTCCTCTATCAGTTCAGCAAGTGTTTGCTGAGCTTCCTCTAAAGGCCAGAAAGTTTTTCAGGTATGAGGGCCACAGCAGTGAGCCTTTTCTTCCTCAAGGCCATGAAAGGTAACACAAGTCTGTGCAAACCCATAAGGTATGGAGGCAACAGACACGATAAAGCAAAATCAAATGAGAGCCCATGTGGAGAGGTCACTGCTAATGGGTTGATGAATGACCTCTGATGTGTTAAAACGTAGTATAGTAGCTAGGCAAGGGGCTATAATTGCAGCATTTGTCAGAAGGCTGAGGCAAGAGAATCACCATGAATTTGAGGCCAGCCTGCAGTGCACAGTGAGACCCTGTCCCAAAATAACCTCCCTGAAAAAATATGGTATAACACTATATTTGATTATGCTATATCTTGTTGCAGTTTTTAAAGCAATATAAGATAATTTTGAAAATTAAAGGTGAAGCAAACACTCATGGGACCCCTAAAGCACCAGTTCCCTTATATTATTGATAAACAAAGACCCGGGGCTGGGGAGATAGCTCAGTGGTCTAAACACCTGCCTATCAAGTGCATGGGCCCAGGTTCAATCCCAGGTACTGCATGCCATGCCAGCCCTGCACTGTGCTGGCCACCAAAACCGGGCGTGGTGGCACATACCTATAATCCCAGTTCTGGGGAGGCTGAGAAAGGTGGATCACTATGATTAAAACCTGTGTAGAGAGAAACTGTATCAAATACATAAATAAATAAATAAATACATAAAATATTTTTGTAATTAAAAAAAAGAAAGCCAGTTGCTGCTGTGCTGTCTCTTGGGTAGATGATTGTTCAAAAAGAAGGGAGTGGTGAATGAAGGCAAGAGATGAAGATGAAGAATGAAGGAAAAAGAATATTGTGGGACTGTCCTGCTTCAAGGTTGTATATGGTTAGATTTTTTGACTTATGTGTAAACATAAGAAGCATATAATTCTTTATGCCTATTTTTAAAAATATATTCAAATTTTTAAATGTTTTTTCATCATATTCTGTAGGGACTTAAGTTCAACATATCAATACTTGATGAAAAATACCTATTCCATGTTATGCCTAAGATGTTTGATATTCAGACAGATAGTGAGGTTAAGCTTAACAGCCTAGGTTGTATGGTAATAACAATAAGCTTGTCTTCTGGAGGGTTAACAACCTAAGTTTGCAGACCAAAATTAGAGAAAAAGGAGGGCCGCAAGGAAAGCCAACATTTTGGCCCTAGCCTTCCAAGGTCAATTAAGACTCACGACATATGAGAACTTGTACTGTAACGACATGTAACTCGGTAGTGTCCCAAATTTTCTGATCAAGGAGATTATGGGGCCAAAGAGGAAAGGTTTTGATGATGTAGAGTGTGCCTAAGGAGAGTCACATGGAGAGAAAACATTCTCTCAGGCTTTCACAGAGAGCACATTGGCCAAGCAATGGCCGTGACTCATCCACATGGCTGACACCGACAAAGGTTCTACAATCTGAGGTATAGGAACTCAGGATAAATCCTGAGGGGATTTCACTGACCTTATCAGACCCAAAAGCTACAACTCTTGTTGCATAGGTCCTGCTTTAGCTTGGTCTTAACCATCCAGCAGAAAACTATAAAAACGAAATATAAGAAGTAAAGCCATGCTGTTATGTTGAGCTGTAGGGGACTCAGGTCAACAATTTCTGACATTGCCAGTCAAGTGGAAGACCTAATACTATTATGGACTACTGAACTCCTTTAGAATATTTTGCTGAGTTTACACATCTATAATATTCAAATGATGGAACTTAACAAAAAAGGGGATACAGTTGAATGTCCATTTTGTATATGTGTATCAAAGTGGTTAGGATAGATATATAGTTACATTCTCTTAATGAATAGAGGGATTTGTTCTAATGGTGTTTGTAAATGGGATATCATGTCTGCATCTTTTATAGCAATTAACCACTAGGAAGAATGTATGCAATGTGTTAATTATTGAAACTGTCCTACCAATTTGGTTTGAAACTGTCTCATTGCTATTTGTTTCTCAATAAAATTATGGAAAAAAAAAAGAAAGTATTGATCACTGTTTTGATTATTCTGTTGGGCTTTTTTTTTTTTTTTTTTTGCAGAACCAGGGATTGAACTCAGGCCCTTGTGCTTGCCAGGAAAGCTCTTATTCCACTGAGCCATCTCCCTGGCCCCCCACTGTTTTTATTATTCATTACTAGTTTATTTTAAAAATAGACATTATGAAAAATATTCATTTAAACTAATAACCCCGATTTTAGTAATGAAATGCTACCTTATCTGTTAATATACTGGAGTTCGGTATACAATTTTGCTTGAGGGTGTGTTGTCATATTTTTTTAAAAACCAGACCAAAGCTGGGCATGGTGGTGCATGCCTGTAAACCCAGTGCTGAGGAAGGTGAGACAGGAGGACTGTTGCAAGTTCAAGGGCACCCTGGGTTACACAGTGAGTATAAGGCCAGCCTGACCTGTAGGGTGAGACCCTGTCTCAAAGCAAAGCAAAAACAAACCAAATGACAGCCCAGATGATACCATAGGGTTTTTATTTATTTAATTATTTACCATAGCTTTTTGAGGTCAACCCAATTGTGATATGGCTAATCAGCATAAAGGTCTCAAGAGTTTTTAAAAAAAATTAAACTAATCAACTCAACTAGTTAAACTAGTAACTCAATCTCTGATGTTGGATATGACTTTTAGAACAGCACTCCTGCCCACCCTACGTATGGGTAGCCTACCGGGTGGGATGATGGGTTTACACCCAGTGGCCAAGAGCGACGGACACTTCACAGCAGCACACTCAGCCACAGAGCTGTATTCCGAGAGGACCCCAATAGCCTGGCAGGGCCCATAGTAGTCAACAGCCACACGGTCAGAGTAGGCAGCGCACACACTCCTGTAGGTCTCACCATTGTGCCCGCACACAGGCTCTGTGGCTGTGCAGAAAGGCTGAGGGAAACAAATTACATTCAGGCTGGAAAACTCTGATAAACCTTCCCTAGTGGAAAAAAAAGAGCATACTTTCCTTCTTTCCAAAATGAAAAGACACAGGTATAAAGTGTGGGGACTCTTGTAAGCTCTTGAGGTGGGCTAAGTGGGGAGTGGGAGGCAAGAAGGTTGTCTCAAGATGAACTGAAAAGATTATGTTTTTTCCTTAGCCTCGCTGGGCCGTAGGTGCTCATTCCATATGAACCACTACAGAGTAAAAATACCCCCTCTTATCATCTCCTTCCTCTGCCCAGATGTCTTAATATCCTAGAACATCTGCTTGAAGCAAACAAGACTGATCTTCCTCCAGATGCAGAGGCTTTATCCTTCCAGGCTGGACATGGAAGAAGAGGGAAGAGTGGAGAGACCAGCGGGCAGACCAATCCTGGCCTCATCTAGTGTGCCAGAAATATAGCAGAAAAATCTAAGTCTGAAAGAGGAAACAAGTAAGAAGAGAAGACCGAAAATTCAGAGTAGATGGTTTCAGTGCAAATGGAACACAACTTTGAAAGACAATAGGCTTGGTAGACAAGCTGATGGGAACTTCCTAACCATGAAGATTTGGGGATAAGAAGCAATTTCATCAGGTGCTAGGGGCTTGTGGGCAGGGCATGTGGGGCCCAAAGATGGGAATCCCTTAGGAGAGGGCTGCACAAAATCAGTGGCAGTGTAGGTGGAAAACCTCTAAGGAGTTTCCTTGGGTGTATTTACTTAACAGAAATGCAGATTCCACAATTCTAAAAGATTGAGAGGCAAATTGACTTAAAATATAAAGAGGAAAATTTTTAATAACTTTTTAGTACTGTAGGAGGCCAGATAGTGGTGGGAAGAGTGGGAAAACTCTTTGCTCATTTTAATTCACACTCCTTTGGTGTGTCTGGTTTGTTTCTAGTGGGGACCCGTAGAATGATGGGAGGGAAAAATGGTATTAGTTCTTTTCCTAAGAGTGGGCTGCTTGTATCTAGCCAGACAGCCTTCCAGAATTGAGTTGCTCCTTTTTTATTGAAGGACTGGCTTCTTCAGACTTTAAAGCATTCACAGAAAAACCCTCGAGTTGTCTATTACTGACTCATCTGTCAGGGAGCACCAATTCTGGGCCTAGTACACCTTGTTTGGTCAGGCAGACAACATACCTGGCATGGACCTCTGTAAGAGAGGCTTTTTCCTCTCTGGTATAAAGTGCAGAGATTGTTGTGCTCCATGTGGTCTGTGTCGCACACAGGATCTCGGACCTGGTCACAGGACAGCTGTCTTGGCACACACTCATATTGGCTACAACCAAATTTATCAAAAGTCGTCAGGCAGACTTGGGGTTTGGATACACATCTGAAAAGCAAGAATGCAGCACCATAAGCCAGATGTAGGGTGTGATTGTGGTGGGGCTGGCAAAACCCTAGATCAGGCCAGGAGGTGGTGGGCAAGACAAAGAGGAGATCTACTGAAATAGTCCTGTTCCCAGAGCTTATGCTGAGGAAAAGTCAAGTGTCCCTAGGGGAGAGAGAGAGAGAGAGAGAGAGAGAGAGAGAGAGAGAGAGAGAGAGAGAGAATATGCCTATATGGTAGGTTATGAGGCAGGAAATGATACAGACTGAGAACTGGGAAAAGCATGGGGAGCAGGTATCCTAACAGGAGCCTGCCATCAAATAGAGCTGCCTGGCAGGCCAGGCCACAAGAGCAGCCATAAACACAGGGTGTGCTCAAGGGTGAGGTTTTGGAGAAACAAACTGCAGGCAACTCTGAGAGCAGGAAATAAGGATGCACACACAGAACAGCCATCCTGTGCTAGGGCCAACACATGGGTTGGGCTCTGAGCCTGGAGATCTCATAGTAACACGTGCAACATTTTCAGGGACTGAGTTTCACTTTGGCTAATGTGTCTGAAGAAAAGGCTTCATAACATACAAAGTTTCTGTGGCAACAAGACTGGCTGGGTCTGGGGCTGGGGAGATGGCTCAGTAGAATAAGTGCTTGCCTGGCAAGCACAATAGCCTGAGTTCAATCCCCAGTTATGAAAACAAACAACAACAACAAACCTGGCTAGGTCCACTGAAAGAATGTTGCCCCTACAGATCCTTCCTAGTAAGCTCTAAATCTTGCTTTCTTCTCAGTCCATGACACCTTCAGAGAGTTTAAGGTGATAGCACTCTGCTCCAGATTTTTTCTGCCCTCCTAAATTTTATAAAGGGTATATAAAACTTTCTATAAGACCTATGAAAATGTTATCTTTTACTGGGTTTTTGAAATAATATACAAATATTCATCTATAAAACAAAAGAGGAGGTATATAGTAGCTAGTGTTATGTTAATTTCACAGGGAATTCTTTTAGAGATAAGCCTGTACTGAAGTCATGACCACTATGTGTGGCTGCCTTTGTTCATCTGACTTGATGTTGGAATGCGCTTAGGTTTTCGTGGAAATTTAAGGGGTCTGAAGAGGAAAGATGGAAAAGAGTATTTAGAACTTCTTTATCACCTAACAGGGAAGGTGTGAAAACATCTGGAGAAATATGGCAATGTAAGGAGGAAAAATGGTCAACTTGAATACATAAAAACAGGGGGAATCACAGGAAAACACTGAGAATCTGAGGGGCAAGTGCAATGATCAGGGCAGGTGTGGTCTGTCTTGTGTCCTATCACTGGGAAAATGTCCAGTACAGCAGCATGGACTTGATGAGGGAATATAATCTCTTTTCTATTTGCTTATTTTGAGAGTGGGTCTCCCTATGTAGTTCAAGCTGGCCTTGAACTCAGTATGCATCCCAGCCTGGCCTGAACTCATGGAGATTCTCCTCTGTTAGCCTCCCAAGTTCTGGGATCATAGGCATGTGCCACCACATGTGTCAATCTTTCTTTTCAAGCAATTACTGTTCAACAGATAATACAAGCTCATCATGAAGCTGAAAAGGTACAAAATGGTAGACAGTGAAAAGTTAGTCTCTGTCCTACTCTTACATCCCAGCCACCGAGGTTCCCTTCATTAGAGACAACTACTCTTTATCAGCTTATTATCTTCCCAGAGATATTTTGTGAGAATTTCTATGTGCTATCCAAAGGGTATGTATATTTATTTATTTATTTTTTGTTTTTAAAGAGAGTAAAAAATAAAATTAAAACAGAAAAAAATTACAAGTGACACAAGATTTTCATTTAACATATATGAATTTCGTAGTATTTGTTGTAATATGTAGTGTCTATCAACCAGTTTTTCATATTATCAGATATATGCATGTAAAATTGGAAGAAAGAAAAAAGGTATAAGAAATTAAGAAGAGAAAAACTACAAACAATTGAAAAAGGAGACAAATTAATTAAAGCATTGACTGCTTCTTTCCATAATCCAGCAGAAATGCACAGTACAATTGTTGAAAGCATCCTGCTTACATACATAGATATATTTCTTTCATATATCCCTCACTCCCTCTCCTTTCCTTCTTCCCAACTAAGTAACTCTTTCCTTTTGAGTAAGTTCATTCATTCCCTTTTACCAGTGTCTATTATATCCTTCAGATTCCATTTTTCTCTTTCAGGTTCTCACATTAAGGAGACAATAGGATGTTTGCACATGTGGGTCTGATTTATTTCACTTAAGAGTATGCTCTCTAGTTGCATCCATTTACTGACAAAAGACTCAAATTTATCCTGTTTTATAGCTGAATAATATGCCATTGTGTAAAAATACCACATCTTCCTTATCCATTCTTCAGTGGATGGGCATATAGATTGTTTCCAGGATTTAGCTATAACAAATTGTGCTGCCATAACCATGGCTGCACATATATCACTGTGGTATGAGATTTTCATTTCTTCTGGAAAAATACTCAGGAGGGGAATAGCTGGCTTGAATGGGATCTCCAATCCTGGCTTTTCAAGGAATCTCCACACTGATTTCCATAGTGGTTGTACCATTCTGCACTCTCACCAGCAGTGCAGAAGGGTTCCTTTTCCTTCATGGCCTCTCTAGCATTTGTTATTGGCTGACTTCTTGATGTTGGCCATTCTTTCTGGGGTGAAATAGAATCTCAGTGTTGTTTTAATTTGCATTTCTTGAATGACAAGTGAAGTTGAACATTTTTTCATATATTTACTTGCCATTTGTATTTCTTCATCTGAGTAGTGTATATCATCTCAGAATATACACTTTTGGATTGGGTCTTTGAATTTGGGGAGGCTGATTCTTTTTTTAATCTTTTGTATGTTCTAGAGAGAAGGCCTTTGTCTGAGGGATAGTTGGCTGTAATTTTTTCCCAGTTTGCTGGCTTGCTTTTTACTCTGTTGGAGATTTGAAATGCAGAAACTTTTCAAAAAGATGAGATCCCAGTTGTTAATACTTTGAAGTATTTCTCATGCACTTTTTCCCCCCCATGAACTCTATCTACCCGTATGTCTTTTAAGATTCCTACCTACAATTTTCCTTCAGAAGATTTAGTGTTTCTGTTTTAATATTTAAATCTTTGATCCATTTTGATTGCAGCTTTGTGATAGGCATGTGCCTAGTTTTAGCCTTCAGCATGTGGAAAGCCAGTTTTTCCAGTACTATTTATTAAAGAGGTTTTCTTCCAGTGAGCCTGTTTGGCCCCTTTATCAAAGATAAGGTGGCTGAGTGTGTTTGCAGTTGTGTCTGCATCTTCTAATCTGTTCCACTGATCCTCAGGTCTGTCTCTATGCCAGTATCATGCTGATTTTATCATAGTCACTTTATAGTATAATTTCCTTTGTTTTGCAGGATTGCTTTTGATATTCTGGATCTCTTCTGGTTCAAAATGAATTTGAGGACAGTTTTCTCTATCTCTATGAGGTATACTAATGGTATTTTCATCAGGATTTCTTTGAATTTGTATAACAATTTTAAAAGTATGGCCATTTTCACAATGTTGCTTCCTCCTATCCAGAAGCATAGAATATTTTTCCATTTTCTCAAGTCCTCTTCAATCTCTTTGCTCAGGGTACCATAATTTTCACTGTATAAATCCTTTACAACCTTTGTGAGATTGATTTCTAAGTATTTCATATTTTTGGATGTTACTGTGAAAGGCATGGTTTCCTAATTTATCTCTCACTGTGTTCATTCTTTGTGTACAAACATGCTACTAATTATTTTTTTGGCGGAACTGGGGATTGAACTCAGGCCCTTGCACTTGCCAGGGAAGCGCTTATTCCACTGAGCCATCTCCCCGGCCCCCAAACATGCTACTAATTATTGAGTGTTGACTTTGTATTCTGCTACATTGTTGAATTTGGTGATTAAATCTACAAGACTCTTGGTGGAGTTTTTGGGGTCTTCTATGTAAAGTATCATGTCATCTGCAAATAATGATAATTTCATATCTTTTCCAATCCTTATTCCTTTTACTTCTCTCTCTTGTCTAATTGCTCTAGTTAATATTTCCAAAACTATATTGAATAGGAATGGAGACAGTGGATATCTTTGTCTTATTCCTGATGTTAAAGTGAAGGCCTTCAGTTTTTGCCCATTTAGTATGATGTTGGCTGTTGGTTTCTCATAGATGGTTTTTTATCAAGTTGAGCTATAGACCATCTGTTCCAGTTCTCTGTAGAGTTTTATCATGAATGAGAGTTGGACTTTGTCAAAAGCTTTTTCTGCATCTATTGAAATGCTTATGTGGCTTTTGTTCTTGGGTCTACTGATGTGATGTATTACATTTATGGATTTGCATATGTTGAACCATCCCTGAATTCCTGGGATGAATCCCACTTGATCATAATATATAATCCTTTTGGTGATTTGCTGTATTCTGTTTGTGAGAATTTTTTTGAGGATTTTTGCATCTATATTCATTAGCGAGATTGGCCTGTAGTTCTCTTTTTTAGTTGGAACTTTTTCTGGTTTTGGAATCAGAGTAATACTTGCCTTCAGGAATGAGTTTGGAAGAATTGCTATCCTTTCAATTTCATTAAAGAGTTTGAGAAAAGTTGGCATTAAATCTTCGCTAAACTTCTTGTAGAATTCTGCTGTGAATCTAGGACCTGGGATTTTCTTTGTTGATAGGTTTTTTTCTTTCAATTAAATTTTCAATTTTGTTTCTCATTATTGGGTTATCCAGAGTTCACATATGTTCTTGACTCAGCTTTGGCATTTCATATGTATCTAGGAAATTGTCCATTTCCTCTGTGTTTTCCATCCTGCGAGAGTAAAGATTTTGGAAGTAGATATTCATGATTTTCTGAATTTCTCTAGGGTCAGTAGTGATTTAGCCCTTTTCCTTCTTTACTGAATGAATTTGGATTTTTTCTTTCCTTTTTTGATTAGGTTGGCTAGGAGTTTATCAATTTTATTTATTCTTTTTTAAAAAAAATTTTATTTATTT